GCAGACCACAAAGGATACATTGCTGACAGAATACAATCGTCAGTGAAAGAGAGCCCGACAGTTTTTCCAAGTAAAGGCTGCCACTTGGAACTGTCAGAGGGCTGGTGCTAAAAACTGCAGAGCGGCGGAGGTTATACACTGTTTGGCCCATGTCGGCCTGGCGGCGATTCAGGAGGGACAACATCTGATATCGAGTGAGTGCACACGTTTGGGGTTTAGTGTTTTCCCATCAAGGGATGGGAAGGCGGCCATTATGATGAACGGACAATGGAAGGGACAAATTCGGGATATTATCACTACACAATCTAGGCTGGTTGTGGCTGTCTTGGGAAAGAAAAACCACCCTATTATCTTTGCGAGCGTCTACCTACCTGATGAGAGTGCTAAAGATGCTGAGACTATATGTGACGAAACGATTGCTGAACTTACACGGATTATTAGAGAATGCAGTGGTAAATATAGGACTCCAAGCGTGGTTATCTCGGGGGACTTCAATGCGGAGCTCCCTGGGAACATCTGTGGGGAATTCAAGGGTATAAGATATGCTATCACGGGTGGTGGTGTGGATGGGAGGATGGTTTATTCGGAGGAGGGCACCAAGATCAGAGAGAGAGAGAGGATCAAACAAGACATGAGGAGGAGGATATTAGGTCTGCTCATGGAGTTCGGTTTGAAGGCTGCCAACACATTTCAAGATAGGTCTGTGACGTGGACAGGCTACGCGAGGGGGCGCGTGCCAGCCAGGTCCGCTGTGCTCGACTATATGTGCATACCGCTCCGCTGGGATATAGTGGACATGACGGTATCTTACGAGTTTCACCGAGGGGGTAAGCTGGCTACTAGCCGCTTGTCGGACCATGCGATGCTCGTTCTTTCCGCTAGAGACCACGGGAGTCCTGACAGATTTTGGAATGCATGTTACCGACCACGGGTGCAGTTGGTAGGCTATACACCGAGTACATGGTATGATGAGAATATCGCACGTACACAATGTGATGAGATGATGGAAAATATTCAGGATTTCCAGGGTGACGATGACGATGACAACTCGGGCCTCAAAGGGACCCCCAATGGTATACCTTACGAGACAAAGACCTGCGACGACGACGGTCCTGGATGTGGTACTCCTCGGGACTTTCGTGGTTTGGCTTCTGGACTCGTGAGCAGCTTTACACAGGGAGTTCATTTTCAGACCAGGGATGCCGCTCAAAAACCTCCGGTGCGACCGTCAGGACTCCGACCTTTACTTGAACGGCGTCGTGCACTTCCGCCTGGACTCAGTCCTGAGAGGCGTGAGCTGACACGTAAGCTCAACGCCCTGCGGAGACAATACCGCCGTGCTCGTCTGGAGTGGCAGATTCCGCCCGTGCGCAGACGTGTACGCAACACACTACACATTCTGGGAGGGACGGAGGATAGACAGCAATGGGAGAGGATCATACATCACACCTGTCAGGAGCAGTTCTCATCGCTAGAGGCACGTTCGGCCAACAGTCGCCTGCTACAGGAGCTGCGACGAGAGGCCAGCATGATGCCGGCCAGGCATCTACCTTTCAGCACGTTTTTACGTGCTCGGAGTCGGCTCCGATCGTCCAGGGCGACAGGACGTGATGGAGTGCCGTGCGAGATATTGAAGAAAATACCTTGGGCCTCTCTGAATAAGATACACACGTTATTTGATCAGGTCTTCAGGGGTTCTATTCCATACCCCGAAAGTTGGCGAGAGATCCTTGTTTGTGTGATGCCAAAGAAGAGTTTAACAAGTAACATGTCCGACTGCAGGTTCCTGTGCTTGCTCAATGCTATCGCACGTTGGTATGTTAGCACGCTTGTGTGTATGATCGAGGAGTCTGTGGAGTCTTCGGGTGTATTACGCCGTCTGGGTCTCTACGGTTTCCAGCGCAACCGCAAAACATTTGAAATCACTGCGGCCCTCAAAAACATGGGCCAACATGCGTCCAAATGGCGTGATCAAGAACTGCACGTTGCTATCTGTGATATACGTAGGGCCTTCGACCATGCCACTGTGGGGAAACTCCGAGAGGCCCTTCAATGGAGTCAGGTACCTCTGCAATTTCAGATACCACTTCTGGAGGCTGTGCTCTATGGGAGCTGTGAGGTCACAGGTGAGGGTCTAAGTATTCAGGGTTTCTCTTGGGATGTGAATATTAGGACTGGAGGTCCAGAAGGGCCACTGGCTTTCAATCTTATTGCTGCCCACATGTGGAGTGCGACGTTTCATACATGGGATGTCTTGGGATACGGTTACAGATGCGAGATTGTAGGGGAAAAATGGAGTACGACGGTTCAGCATACGGTCAACCACATGGTCTGGGCTGATAACGTGGTAGTACTGGCTCAAAGCGAATCACAACTGACCGAGATGTTTTCGCAGCTCACACACTCTCTTGTGCGACGCGGCATGGAATGGAAGCCCATTCAATCTGATGCTGCACCCATCCCGCTGCTTGGCGAATACCTTGTATTTGGACAGGATGTGAATTTTGAACAGGACGGTACGGTCTCACAGGTGCAAAATGTGGAGATCACCTCGACTACCAATGAATTTCAGACATTTCGGTTATCTCGTGTGACGTCCACGGTGCTCTTGGGTGTCTTCATTACCACTGACTATCGGGCACACTCTCATGAGGATCTGGCTTTCCGTCTCGATGCTGCAAGGAGAGGTTTCTATTCACAGAAGGCATACTACGGGGCCAGATGTGTACCTATAAATGCTAAGTTCCAGAGGTATACTGAAAGGATACAATCTCAGATACTGTACGGAGGAGAAAATATTACATTGAATGACAGCAGCCTCGAGGACATACACCGCTTCGAGGGACAGTGTTTACTTCAGATCGTGGCCACAAGGAGGTTACCAGACGAGTCCATTCAGGACTATGAGCTGCGAAGGAGGAGGAGATGCAGAACCTTATTTCAGGAGGCAGGTTTCATGCCACTGCCGCAGCGACTATTGCTAGCATGCTGGAATGTTGCCAAGGATTTGTCAAGTTTTATCCAGTCTTTGCCTGTGCATAACTGTCGCGATCGATGTTGGTACGACGCCAGATTTGGTATGATGGCTTTCCCAAAGCAGTGGGATATCATGCGTGACAGAGCTGCTGCATTTTTCCATGCACATGCTTCCACACGTATTCGTCGGGAGGAAGGGGATATGAGGAGGAGGAAAATGGGGAGGGAAGTGACGGCTCAGCGCACGTGGCAGTACCCGCTACAACAGTTCTTCGGTGATGACTGGTGGGACTGCATGCTGCACAGTGATTTTTACACGTGGGCTGTCGTGACGGCGGCCGAGCATATTCACAAGTACTTTCAGCCAGAACATAAGAGGGGATGTGGTAACAACTACGAGAAGGAGGAGGAGTTTGGCAATATTGGACATATGGAGGAGGAAAGTGAGCCCAAGAGAAGAAGGATGGAGGAGGAGGAGAACCTGAGACTCAGCAAACGTATTGCACTGTCGTACATGCGCGAGACGGTCTGGGATTTCACCACTCCTGGACTACCTCTGGAGATCTGCGGGGATAGCCTGCTGATTGTGTCGTGGATCAACGGTGTGTGGGCATGTGAACAGGTGGACTATCGCAAACGAGTCGCCAACTTGCAAGATCAGTTATACAATATATGTGTACAGGAGGGAGGGAGACCACCTATGAAGGGACGGGACATTGTGAAGCATATCTTTAGGGAAAACAATGAGAGAGCGGACACACTGACACATGAGGCCCGCGAGGGCCATACTTATATCAAAGAGTCGTACGATTCTATTTTTACTAACACGATGAATGTCGTTGCCATTCGGGGTGCCTGGGATGGTGGCGTCTCGGCCTTAGGAGTCGGGTGTGGTTGCTGGCTTGATATCGGGTTTCGGACAAATACTAACGACTGTGTTTGGACGGAGGTGTACAGAGAGGCCTGGTGTTTGAGCGATACATGCACTGTTACTCAAGCTGAACTGAGTGCCGCGGAACGGCTGCTCGCAGCCACAGCTCGTCTTTCGCGTGTATGCCGTCTCTTTTCATGTTGATGCCTGTGCTTGTTGCATATCTGTGCGCTTCGCGCTGTGTACTGTACAGGCTGAATTGTAACAGCTGACGCTGCCGTGTGGACACTGCGACTGGGCTCTGAGAGCCCGCTTCAGTCGACTCCAAGCCAAGCCTCCCCCCTCCGGAGCGCCGGCGGGGAGGGCGGGGGCGCGTGGGGGCGGCAGGGGAGCGCGGGGGGGGGGCGCTGAGGTGGCTGCGGTGCGTGCGTCATCGTGTGGTCGTCAGTGCGTGGGTTTCCCTGGATGCTTGCGTGTGCGTCTGTGTGCGTGGGTTGTACGTGCGTGTGTGTGTGTGTGTGCGTGTGTGCGTGTGAGTGTTTGTGTGTGCCCCCGTGTGTGTATGTGCATGTGTGATTGGTGTGCGTGTGCGCGTCCCTCTGTGTGTGTGTGTGAGATGTGCTGTGTGTTTGTGCGTGCGCGTTTGCGCGTGTGTGTTGACGTTTGCGTGTTGATGTGTTGCGTGTGCGTGTGTGTGTGTATGGGTGCGTGTGTGTGTGGAGCATGCTGGCGTATGTGTGCGTTCTTGTGTATGTATATGTGTTTGTATGTGTGTGTCCGTGTGTGCGTGCTTATGTGCGTATGCTCGTTTATGTAAGTGCCTCTTCGCTATCCGGTTTTGGACGCTTACAAGTTCTACCCCCCTCGCTCCCCCCTTCTCATGGGGGGAGGTTCCATGCTGGCGACCATGTTCCTTGGGCATCAACTATCGGTCCAGCTACCCCCCCTTCGCCCCCCCTTCGGAGGAAGGGGGGGGGGGTCTTGCAGACGGCTCTCGTGTTGGAATATCCGACGCGCAGCAGCCGCAGTTCTGGGCAGGTGGCTGAGGCCGTAGAGAACAGTGTCTGGGCGCGCCACGCGGCCCGTGTCGCCGCCGACCTGTGTCGTCGGCGGCGTCTGCGGTGGCCCCCACGCGCGCGTGCTGCGGGCCCGCTCAGGCGGGGTCCATCCAGGTGGCGGGCACGAAGTGCTCGGGCGTCAACGTGCCCGCGAGCTTGTAGTCGGCAGCGCGCTCCACGCGCGACAACGCCGTGTATCCCGCCGCGGGGCAGAACTGCTTGTCGAGCACGACGGTGATGTGCTTGAACTCATCGCCCTGCACCTGATTGGGTTGGCAGACGCAGCGCGTTCCATTCTGCCAGCGCTCGCCAGTGTGGGGCGCCCCGAACGCAGCACGAGAGGACTCGTCTCTCGCTCGCGTCGCGCTCGGGGTGTCCGACAAGCGAGCGCGCCGGCCAGGGGGAGGGCGCTGCCTCTGCCACCCCCCGTGCCCTTGCCTTGTGGATGGTGCTCGCGTAGCCGAGCCTGATGGGGAAGTGGCGCACGCTGCGGCCATCGACCTTCTTGTTGGTGTACTTGGTGATGGGCAGGAGCTGGTTCGTCTTAGTGCGGACGAGGAGCGTGCCGCCGTCGCCGTTCGGCGTGAACCTCTCGACCGTGCAGGCCATGCCGTTGACGTAGTCGTCCTCCTTGCGCACGTTCTGTGTGAGGTAGAGACGGGCACCTCTGTAGATCGGCACCTTGGCTGGAAGGGGCCTGCGGTCTTCGCGGAAGCCGTCCTTGGTGTAGTTCTCGGGGTTGATGTCGATGTCCCCGTCGATCACCGCGATGGGCCTGCGCCCCGCGAAGAGGCCATCCACGGCGAGGTTGTTGAGCTCCTCCGCTTTGTGGCGCGTGCACGTGACGATGACGGTCTCTGGATGCTCGTCGAGGTGGCGCTTGATGTCGTCCGCGTCGGGGTGCTCCCAGTTCCAGGCTTTGCGGCCGCGGCACATGCTCCTGAGCATTCTCTTGCTGGGCTTGTCCACGCGGAGCTTGTCGAGGACCTTGAGGAACTCGGGGTCCTTGCAGCGCCAGGCCTGGTGCAGGGTGATCACCCTGCACTTCTTCCAGGCGGCGCTCTCCTACGGGCGACCGTTCTTGACCGCGTCAATGGCGGGCAGCTGGTACTTGTCGCCCAGGATGACAAAGGCAGGGAGCTTCTGCGCCGCGGCCCACATCTTCATCAGCTTCTCGAAGTGGGGCATATCGAGGAGCGAGATCTCGTCGACCACGACCATGTCGTAGGAGCTCATGAGGTGCAGCGTCTCGGACTCGGGCTGGCCGAACTTGAAGGCCGCGTGGCAGGTGTCCACGCAGACGTTCTGGATGACGCGGAGGGCCTCCTTCATACGGCTCGCGAGCTGCGCCGTGGGCAGCGCGAAGAGGACCTGGGCGCCCTTCTCGCAGGCGCGGCGGATGCACTCCTTGACGACGGTGGTCTTGCCCGTGCCTGGCTTGCCAAGGACGATGGTCGGCGTGTTGTTCTGCCAGGCATCGTCGCCCGCTCTCTCGACCGCAGAGGCGCTGTCGCTGTGGTTATAGATGACGGCGCGGTCGACGGCCTTGTTGACGGCCTTCTCCACCTTCTTCTGCTGGGCGTTGAACTGCTGCGGGGCGGCGGGGCCAGCGCCCCCGCGGCGGCCGCTCGCCGCCGCCGCAGCCGCCGCGGCTGTCTCCTCCTCGGCGCGGTTGCGTGCGCCCGACAGGTACTCGTCCACCAGTTCCATCTGTCCGTGGACCATCTCTTGGACATCCTCGATGTGGTCGTCCGTGCTGGCCTCCTGCTTCATCTCGCTCCTGATCCTGTGGGGCAGCCTCCAGAAGTCGCGGAGCTCGACGGGCACGCGGTCGTGGTCGTCGCAGCGCCGCAGCGCCGTGGCGAACCAGCGGTACTTCTTGGGCACCAGGCGATCGACGTCCGCGTCCAGGAGCTCGGCCATGCTGTTCGAGAAAGGCACGTGCAGCGCCAGCCACTGGCCGAAGAACTTGTCGTTCAGGCGGTAGACGTGGTCGACACCGACGATCTTCTCGCCGTTCATCTGGTAGTCGTTGGTAAAGTCTGCGAGCGAGCCCACCTCGAGCGGGTCGATCTGCACCTGCGCGCTCATCTCCGCGTTGAGCTTCTCCTCGACGTGCCACTTGGCGAACGCGCGGAAGTCGTCGGCGCCTTGCTCCTCTCTCCCTGCAAAGGCCTGGAACTCCTTCTTCGTGGCGCCGACGCGGAACTTCTCGAAGGGCAGCTTGCCGCCCTCCTTGACGTATTTGGCGAATGCAACGACGAGCACCTCCTCGCGCCACGGCTTCTGAATCCAGTGGGCGATCTGGCCGTCGTCTCCAGTCTTCCGCAGGAACTCCAGCAGGGGCATGTCGGCGCGGCGCCAGGTGCGGCTGGCCGCGCAGTACTGTTCAACGTATGCGGGCGGCGTCTCCATGCCCGGCCAACGCGCCTGAATGTCGCGCTTGCCCCTGCTGACGGTGGAGACGTGCCACTGCTTGAAGTTCTGACCGTTGAGCTGGAGCCACATCTCGGGCTCGTAGGGGTGGTACTCGTTGACCATGCGGCGCGCCACCGAGGTCGCAGATCCCTCGTCGTTGAACCACTCGTCGAAGGAGGAGTCCGAGAATTTGGCTGCGTACTTCGCCACGTACTGAAGCAGCATGGACTCTCCGTCTGAAACCTGGAGGTCTTGGTGGCAAGGGAAGCCGTCCATGACGTCCACGAAGAAGGCGCGGTGGACGCCTTCGTCCCTGTCCTCCTCGGAGTGCTTCAGCTTGAGCGTGCCGTCCTCGTCGTTCCAGCCCTCGGGGCCGTCGTGGATGGGCCACTTCCAGTCCTCGTCGCGGTCCTTCTGCGAGCACTTGACCTTTCCCTTCAGCGCCAGGTCCCCCGCCACGGGTAGGCTCGCCTTGACGAACTGCTCCAACTTCGCGGCTTCGAGCTCGTCCGCGAAGATGAGGACATGCGCGTGGGGGCGGCCGCTGCCATGGTAGCGGAAGGTGCCCGCTTTGCGGCTCCCGTCCTGGAACTCGATGCGCGCGAAGACGACGAGTTTGATGGGTTTGCCGCCCTCGTCCTTGCTGCTCAGGATGTGCTTCTTCCACGCGCGGCCGCCCTGCCCCGTCTTCTTCTCACTCGTGCGATTCACGCCCGCGAGGAGCCCGTGCGTGATCTGGAGGAGCGCGTGCGTCATGTGGAGGCTCTCCGCTGCGGGGAGGTACATCCGCTTGCGCAGGCTCTTGGACATCTCGTCCTGAACCCATTCGTGGTAGGGCGCGAGGTACTCGTAGGGCGAGATGGTCCAGAAGATCTTCGGCATGCCCACCTGGCGGACCAGGTCGATCAGACCGTTGTGGACCTCCTTCCAGTAGAGCGGACTGAAGGAGTTGCCCTTCATGAGCACGCGCATGGGGACCTTGTCCCCGAGGCCGAGGTTCTTGCGACTGCCCAGCGTGCTCCACAGGTTCAGATCATAGACGTATTGCAGCAGCTCGAACGAGGTCCCGTAGCCGATGAGCGGCGACAGGACCTTTGCCATGAAGCTCTTCTTGATGCTGTGGCGCCCAGAGCCTTCTGCCTCGCCTGCATCATCCTCAGCCTCTTGGTCGCTGTCGCCGTCGGCTGCCTCGCTGCCAGAGTCAGAGGACTCGCCGTCGCCGTGCTCACTCTCGTGATCGCTGTCCTGCCTGTCGTGCGGGTCGCGGCCTGCGCTCGCGGACTGCGCGCCATCGTCGGAGCTCTCGGTGTTCGAGTCATCCTCGTCCTCTGCCGCAGCGCCGCGGCCGCCCTTCTTGCGGGCGCGCCGCTCCTCGCGGCGCTCGTCCGTGTAGCGCTCGTACGACTCGCACATCTTCTTCGTCCAATACAGGTGGGGCCAGATGGCGCACTCGAGACCGACCTACGGGCGGACTCTGGGAGCCCCTGTCGGTGTGCAGGAGGCAAGCCCATCGAGCCTCGAGCACACTGGAAAGTGTGTTCGGGGCAAGGTTGCTCCCTGTTGCCCGAGCGGGGTTACCTAGTCTGCCCTGTTGCGCCTGCTCGATTAAGTTGATCGGGCGCTTCCGCTGGCGCTCGTCGGGCTTGCGGCTCTTGCCGTCGAAGAACTTCTCGCGCTGCATCTTAAAGTCCCTGTAGCAGCTCTCCTTGCTGTCCATCAGGTAATCGTAGGCGGCCTTCGCCTTCTCGCGGTCCGCGTGCGGGACGTTCCTGAACTTCTTCTTCGGAGCGTGCTCCGACCAGGAGAAGCGGATCATCTTCACTTTCTTGCGGTAGCCGTTGGGTTTCCCCTTGGCGTCGTGGGACCGGACCACCGCGCCGACGTCCACGTCCAGCAGGCTCAGCGCACTGATGATCTCGGGCGTGAGGTCCTGCAGCGGCTTCGGGACGTCCTCGGGCTTCGGGACGTAGTGCTTGCGCTTCGCGTTGCAGAGCTTGCACTGCGACTTGGCCAGCTCGGGCTTGCGCTCGCGCCTGAGGTCCGCCTCGTAGAACTCGCGCGGCTGCATCGCTTGGCACTTCGGGCACATGCCCCAGGAGCCGCGGAGGCACCAGGCCTCCAAGGCCTTTGAGTAGTCGGAGTACTCCGCAGGCGGGAGGCCAGTCCCGTTGTCCAGGTGCGCATCCAGCTCCGCCCCAGAGGCGCGCTCGCGCCTCTCCGACCCAGGGAAGACCAGGTTTTTCGCGTACCGCTGGTCCTCGAGTACCTCCTGGCGGAACTTTCGTTTCTGCTTGCGGTCGGGCGGCTCCTGGGTGGTCTGCCGCTTCGCCTTGGCATCGGCCCAGTCCGCCACTTTCTTCTCGGCGGGCTTGCGGCCGCGCTTCGGCTGCCTGACGCGGTCCTCGGGGATCTCGAATCCGGCCTTCTCCACCCTCGCCTTGAAGAGGTCGTGCGGGGTCTTGTCTTCGAACTGGTGGAGCGCCCTCAGGTAGCGCATGGCGCCCGCCCTGCCCTTGACTGTCTTCACCTTCTCCGGGAGGGCATCGACGTCGCAGCAGAAACACTGTTTCTTCCCGCCGCGCCCCCGAAAGACCTTGGCGCCAGGAGTGGAGGCGGAGAACACGCAGTCCTGCTGGATGACCTCGTCGGAGCCCTCCTGCGGCTGCTCCCAGCCGATGCAGAAGTCAGACGAGCCGCGAGACCTTGCCGGCTTCTTCACCACTGGGCCCGCCGCCACGGCGTTGTCGATACCCGCGTCGACCTTCATCCTCGGCTGCTTGGGCGCCCTGGCGCCAGGCTGAGACGCCGGGCGTTTCTGCGGGTGCGGGGGCGGCGGCGGGGGCGGCGCGACAGCCGCGCCGGGCTGCTTTCCGCTCAGGCGGCGCCGCGCCGCCGCCGCTGCCATCGGCGCGGCGCTGGCTGGCCGCTTCCGCACGGCCGGCGCCATGTGCTCCGCCTCCAAATACTCAGCATCGACATCCGCCCTCATGATGTCGCGCGCGCCCTTGAACAGCTGGGAGATGCGCGGCGGCGGGCATCCGCGGGCCTGGAGGTCGGCACGAATGACTTCCTCAGCCTCCCCGCGGCGGAGCGCAGCGAGCACGTCAACCTGTCGGAATTTGGGCGGCATGGTCTCCCAGCTCGGTAGCGGCTGCTCGGTGCGGGGCGTGCTGGGCTGATAGTAAGGCAGCGCGAGGCGCTGGCACAGTTTTGCCTCGAGCCAGATGGCGACGGCAGGAAAGCAGGGGGCAAGAGCAGCGGCAGGGGGGCATCTCGAGCATTATACTCTGGAGCCAATCTGGGTGTGCCTGTGGCTTGGGAAAATCCTGGCTGGAGCTCACACACGGCATCCTCGGAGATGTGGCGGGTGGGGGAGCGCGAGGGGGCGGGTCCGGCGCCCCCTCGCATCTCATTTTGCTCCTGCGCTCTCCTGGGGTCTTCCTGGAGAGCGCAGAGAATTGGAAGGGGCAACATGATCGTTAGAGCAGCAGCAATTGCAGCAATGACAGCGACAGAAGGTGAGATATGGAGCAGGGGTAGCGCGTGCGCTTCCGAGGAAAATTCTGAACACGTTCTGGAGATTCTACGACACATAATGGCACTGATGGGGTTTGTGAAGTCCTGCGGGAAAACTCCGTGAGAGTGTCGCAACCTGACGAAACATTGTTTTGTCACTCGGCATCACAATGCCATGATACATTCTCTGCATCCGCCGCCACCAACCAGTTGCCTGGACTGTACCCCCAGGCCCATATCCGACGGTGGCGTTCAAGCCGAGCGCGCAGCTAGCGCCTCGGCTCCGCTGGGGCACGCCTCACTTCTTGTCCTCAGGCGCAGAAGCGGCTGCTCCTCCCGAAGCCGCGCCCTTCGCCGCAGCAGCTGGGAGAGCGCGGCCCGCCTCGCCCGTCACCTTCTCGCTGTCGACGTCCTCGGGCTCTTCTGCGATCTTCTTCGCGTCCTTCCACGCCAGGGCGTCGTCCGTCAGCTGCTTGATCTTGCCCAAGAAAATATTCACCGTTTCTTTGCGAGCCATCCTGACCAGCTTAGACACGGACGCGCACGTCGACGTGAGGCCAGCCGCCTCGGCCACATCCTCGGGCAGCGACTGCGCGATCCGCTTGAGTTCCTCGAGGTCGGGCTTGCCGTCGCACTGGATGACGCGGTTCTTCAAGGTCTGGATGTCGGAAGCGCCCCACGTCGACCAGGATTTCTCCGCGGGCGCGAGCTCTTCCTGGGACCCGCCCTCGTCCGCGAAGAGGTCCACGCTCTTCTCGCGGCTGCGTCCGCGCTTCTTCTCCTTCTTGCCGTCGCGAGAGCGACTCCGATTGCGCTTCCTCTTGTCCTTGTGCTTCTTCCGATCACTGTCGTACGACTTCTCGCGCTTCGTCTTGTCCTTCTTGTCCTTCTTGTCCTTCTTGTCCTTGGACCTGCTGCGGCTGCGGCCTCGGCTGGAGGACTTGTCGCGCTTCTTGTCCGTCCTCTTCTTCTTCTTCTTCTTCCTATCCTTCGAATTGCTGCTGTCGCTGGAGTCGCCGTCGGAGTCGGTGCTATTCGAGGAGCTCCCGCTGGTCGACTTCTCGGCGCTCTCTAGGTCCTCTCCGAAAGCGTAGCGCTTCTTCCGCACCGTCTTCTCCGCGGCCGCGGCAACGCCGTTGGCCAGCGCGGCGACCAGGTCGTCCATCTTCTGGCTCTTGATGAACTTGCGGATGCTCGCGGGCTGTTTCTCCGGCTCTGGGATCTTCTTGGACCACTCCTTCACAGAGGTCGTGAGCGCAATAAGCTCGATCCCAGTCATCGCTGCCATGTACAAGCGGGCGCCTTCATCGGCGAGACGACCAAGGACAGCCAGGCGCTCTGATGCCTTGTCCTTGCTCCCGAAGTGCTCGATGACGACCTTGGCGGCCTTCTCTGCGCTGCGCTTGTCCTCGAACTTCTCGAACGGCAAGTGCAGTGCGTCCACCGCCTTGAGGACATCCTTGTCGCAGAGTAGCTTCCGCGCCTCCCACAGCTTCAGCTTCGCGAGCTCGTCGCACTTCGGTTTCTCCGAGGATACGCATTGGAGCACTTCTTGCCCAGCGACGAGACCGGAGATCGCGTTCAGGAAACCCGAGGCCGGCACCTTCACGAGCTGCGACGACTCGTCGGTCACGATCTCGCGAGCCTTGTCCAGCGTGAAGTACTGGTGCGGCGGCTCATGGTCCGAGAGCACCGCATTACCATTCTCGTCTGGCCAGGGGCGCAGGCTGGCCTTCCCCATCATCTTCCAGAGGGGCACATTGTGGAGCTTGTTCGGGTCCTCCTTCTTTTTGCTGCCGCCCGAGTTCTGGCGCTTGCTCTTGGGCGCCATGGCAGAACTGAGCACTGTGACGCTGCTCGGTGCGGGGCGTGCTGGTCTGGTAGCAAGGCCGCTAGCGCGAGGCGCTGGCAGAGTTTCGCTTCGAGCCAGATGGCGACGGCGGGAAAGCAGAGCGCAGGAGCAGCTGCAGGGGGCATCGGATGTCGAGCGCTATAATCAGAGGCCAATCTGGGTCTGCCTGTGGCTTGGGAAAGTCCTGCCTGGAGATCGCAAATTGCACCCTCGAAGATTTGGCGGGTGGGGGGGCGCGAGGGGGCGGGTCTGGCGCCCCCTCGCATCTCAGTGTGCTCTACGGACTTCTCTGGTGCGCTCTCGCATCTCATTGTGCCCAGGCGCTCCGAGGCTCCCAGGCGCTCCCAGGTGCTCCCAAACGCTTTCAAGCGCTCCCAGGCGCTCCCAGGCGCTCCCAGGCGCTGCCCAGCGCTCCCCGGCGCTTCCATGCTTGTTTGGCCGGGCTGAGCGGGTAGGGGTGTCACGAGCGGGCCTGGCTTCTGGCCTGGCGCTCCCAGGCGCTCCCAAGCGCTGCCAGGCGCTCCCAAGCGCTCGCAGGCGCCCCCACGCGCTCCCAAGCGCTCCCAGGCGCTCCCAAGCGCCCCCAGGCGCTCCCAGGCGCTCCCAAGCGTTCCCAAGCGCTTCCAAGCGTCACCAGGCGCTCCCAGGCGCTCCCAGGCGCTGCCGAAGCGCTCCCAGGCGCTCCCATGCTTGTTTGGCCGGGCTGAGCGGGTAGGGGTGTCACGAGCGGGCCTGGCCTGGCCTGGCGCTCCCAGGCGCTCCCGGCGCTGCCTCCGTCCCGCCGTGATTTCGGTCTGCCGGGTCGCCCCCGTGATTTCGGTCGGCCAGATCGCCCACGCGCTCCCAAGCGTTCCCAGGCGCTCCCAGGCGCTCCCAGGCGCTCCCAGGCGCTCCCAAGCGCTCCCAAGCGCTCCCAAGCGTTGCACAGCGTTCCCCGGCGCTCCCAAGCGCTCCCAGGCGTCCCCAGGCGCTCCCAGGCGCTCCCAGGCGCTGCCCAGGCGCTCCCAGGCGCCCCCAAGCGCTCGCTCCCAAGCGCTGCCCAGGCGCCCCCAGGCGCTCCCAGGCGCTCCCGGCGCTCCCGGCGCTGCCTCCGTCCCGCCGTGATTTCGGTCTGCCGGGTCGCCGCCGTGATTTCAGTCTGCCAAATCGCTCAGGCGCTCCCAAGCGCTCCCAGGCTCTCCCAGACGCTCCCAGGCGCTCCCAAGCGCTCCCAGGCGCTCCCAGGCGCCTGCCCAGGCGCTCCCAGGCGCCCCCAGGCGCTCTCGGCGCTGCCTCCGTCCCGCCGTGATTTCGGTCTGCCGGGTCGCCCCCCTGATTTCAATCGGCCAGATCGCCCAGGCGCTCCCAAGCGCTCCCAGGCGCTCCCAGGCGCTCCCAGGCGCTCCCAAGCGCTCCCAAGCGCTCCCAAGCGCTCCCAGGCGTTGCTCAGCGTTCCCCGGCGCTCCCAGGCGCTCCCAGGCGTCCCCAGGCGCTCCCAGGCGCTCCCAGGCGCTGCCCAGACGACCCAGGCGCCCCCAGGCGCTCGCTCCCAAGCGCTGCCCAAGCGCTCCCAGGCGCCCCCAGGCGCTCCCGGCGCTGCCTCCGTCCCGCCGTGATTTCGGTCTGCCGGGTCGCCGCCGTGATTTCAATCTGCCAGATCGCCCAGGCGCTCCCAAGCGTTCCAAGGCGCTCCCAGGCGCTCCCAGGCGCTCCCAGGCGCTCCCAAGCGCTCCCAGGCGCTCCCAGGCGCTGCATAGCGTTCCCCGGCGCTCGAGAGAGGAGGCGGCGCCGCGCTGTACCGGGCGCTGTAACGAGCCTCGTTTCTATAGGCCGGTGGGTGGCCTCGGCGTTACCCTCACGCCATCGCATGCGAGCGGGCACGCATTCGGTGGCCCCCCCCCACCCACCGGCCTAAACGAATCTCGTTTAGGCCAGTGGGTGGCCTCGGCGTTACCCTCACGCCATCGCATGCGAGCGGGCACGCATTCGGTGGCCCTACCCCCACCCACCGGCCTAAACGAATCTCGTTTAGGCCGGTGGGTGGCCTCGGCGTTACCTTCGCGCCATCGCATGCGAGCGGGCGCGCAGTCGGTGCCCCCCCCACCCACCGGCCTAAACGAATCTCGTTTAGGCTGGTGGGTGGCTTCGGCGTTACCCTCACGCCATCGCATGCGAGCGGGCACGCATTCGGTGCCCCCCCCCACCGGCCTAAACGAATCTCGTTTAGGCCGTGGGTGGCCTCGGCGTTACCCTCACGCCATCGCATGCGAGCGGGCGCGCATTCGGTGGCCCCCCCCCACCCACCGGCCTAAACGAATCTCGTTTCGGCCGGTGGGTGCCTCGGCGTTGCCCTCGGTCGCTCATCGCATGCGAGCGGCACGCAAATCGGAGCACCCACCCCCACACACGGCCTAAACGAGAATTGCCCTACGCCGAAGGGTATAGGGGGGGGCACCAAAAATGCGCCACCCACAATGCGTGCCCGCACGCATCCGATGCGGGAGGGTAAACGCGCTTCAGAGCGTTACCTCACGCCAACGCATGCGAGCGGGCACGCATTTGGTCGCATTTGGTGCCCCCCCATCCCCCGGCGTAGGGCAATCTCGTTTAGGCCGGTGGGTGGCCTCGGCGTTACCCTCACGCCATCGCATGCGAGCGGGCACGCATTCGGTGGCCCCCCCCACCCACCGGCCTAAACGAGATTGCCCTTCGCCGGGGGATGGGGGGGCACCAAATGCGCCACCAAATGCGAGCAGGCACGCATTTGGTGGCGTTCCCTTCAGGCGTTCCCCTCAGGTGCGCCTGAGGGGAAGGCCACCAAATGCGTGCCCGCTCGCATGCGATGGCGTGAGGGTACCGCCTGAGCGCGTTACCCTTACGCCATCGCATGCGAGCGGGCACGCATCTGGTGACGTTCCCCTCGGGCGTTCCCCTCAGGTGCGCCTGAGGGGAAGGCCACCAAATGCGTGCCCGCTCGCATAGGTGGCCTTCCTTCCCTCGAGGACAGAAAGGAACGGCCCGAAGGGAACGCTCACCAAACTGCGATGCGATACCGCTACAGCGGGCAACGCATTCGGATCGTACGACCAGGAATCTCGCCGAGAGAAATACCGGGCAGGAGGAGGAGATAGCATGCGAGCGGCACGCAATTTGGTGCCCCCCCCCCCGCCCCCCCACCCCACCGGCCTAACCGAACGGCCAACCGGCCTAAACGAGATTCGTTTAGGCCGGTGGGTGGGGGTAGGGCCACCGAATGCGCGCCCGCTCGCATGCGATGGCGTGAGGGTAACGCCGAGGCCACCCACTGGCCTAAACGAGATTCGTTTAGGCCGGTGGGTGGGGGAGGCCACCGAATGCGTGCCCGCTCGCATGCGATGGCGTGAGGGTAACGCCGAGGCCACCCACCGGCCTAAACGAGATTCGTTTAGGCCGGTCGTGAGGGGGCGGGGGGGGGGGGCACGCCGAGGGGAACGCACAACCAAAAGCTTGCCCGCTCGCATGCGGAAGGCGAGAGGACATAACGCGCTCGGGTCTATTACCCTCGTCGCCGACGCATGCTAGCGGGCACGCATTTGTGGCGATCCCCTCATGCGCACCTCAGGGGAACGCCTGAAGGGAACGCCACCGAATGCGCGCCCCCCCCGCCCCCCCACCCACCGGCCTAAACGAACGGCCACCGGCCTAAACGAGATTCGTTTAGGCCGGTGGGTGGGGGGGGCCACCGAATGCGCGCCCGCTCGCATGCGATGGCGCGAGGGTAACGCCGAGGCCACCCACCGGCCTAAACGAGATTCGTTTAGGCCGGTGGGTGGGGGGGGGGCACCGAATGCGTGCCCGCTCGCATGCGATGGCGTGAGGGCAACGCCGAGGCCACCCACCGGCTTAATCGAGATGCGTTTAGGCCGGTGGGTGTGGGGGGGGGCACCGAATGCGCGCCCGCTCGCATGCGATGGCGTGAGGGTAACGCCGAGGCCACCCACCGGCCTAAACGAGATTCCTTTAGGCCGGGAGGAGCTCCCGCCTGAGACTTCCTCACAAATTACTCACAGACGAGGCTCCCGCTAACAAATTCTTCGAAATCTGGCCCGAGGAGCCCAACTGTAAAGACTGTTACAGGAATCCGATGACCCGCTCGAATTACCAACATGAGCTGCGGGACCCATATGGAGGGGCTCCCGCCTGAGACGTCCTCAGAAATTATTCACAGACGAGGCTCCCGATTGAGACGTCCTCCAAATTAAGGTCTGAGGAGCCCAAAAATGACGACAGTTACAGGACTCCGATGACCCGCTCGGATTACCAACATGAGCTGCGGGACCCATAGGGAGGGGGGCCCCCGCCTGAGACTTCCTTGCAATTCACTCATATACGAGGCTCCCGCTTGAGACTTCCTCCAAATTAAGGCCTGAGGAGCCCAAGCGTGACGACAGTTGCAGGACTCCGATGACCCGCTCGGATTACCAACATGAGCTGCGGGACCCATAGGGAGGGGGCCCCCGCCTGAGACTTCCTAGCAATTCTCTCACAAACGAGGCTCCCGCCTGACACTTCCTCCATCTTCAAGCTCGGGAGTGAGTGGTGACGATGTGATGAGTCGATGATGCTGGGCGATGATTGTGATGATGGGTGATGATGATGATGATGCTGATGAAGAAAATGATGATGGTGGTGATGATGATGATAATGCGTGGTCGAATGACGATAATGAATGTGTGAGTGTGTGTGTGTGGTTGAGTGAGTGAGTTATGGTGATGATGACGAGTGAGTGAGCGAGTGGGTGATGATGATGATGGTGATGATGATGATGATGACGATGATGATGATGATCAGTGTGCTGAGTGAGCGAGGGGAGGGGAGGGGAGCGTGTGTGTGTGTATGAGGTGGTCTTGCGCGGGGTGTCCAGAGAACACAAGAACCCCACTGTGGATGTGGGGGACACCTGGTTACGGCGCCCTAACGCCTCCTCGAGGGCGCGTTCGGGCGCCGTAGAAAAAAACGGT